TGGACAGAATTATACGGGTTTTGTTCCACCTTACTTATATCTTCTGATTTGTATCCTGTCTTTCCTGATTTATTTGCATCAGTATAAAATGTACAGACTCCAGTTATTGGTGTATCACATGCAATTCGGGGGAGAATGCAAGTAGTTCTCTTTATAATGTTAATTTTATCACTTTTGGGATAATTGCTATTAATTTCTCCCAAAAAATTAGCACAGACTCTTTGCCAAGGTTCATTATCTTTCCATAATTTTTTTAAATTTCATCAGCAGTAAAAGGGAATATAATCCCTACTAGGTCTATATCTACTAGTTGATGACGTCTCAACATTCCTTTTATAATTAATTCAGAGACTTTTTCCACATAAGTTTTTAATTTGTTACTTGGTTTATGTGGTAAGAAAAGATCCATTCTAAGATAATATCTTCCCTCTGCATTAAAATTCATGTAGGGGAATTTCTGGAAGACAATATGACTAGAATACAATTAAGATTTGGATTCAGTCTATCTACATGTGCCTCCTATAATTTCTCTTCAACAACCATCAATTCTTTTTCCACTTCCACTGTTAATTCTCTGGGACTATTCAAATATTTGTCACCACCTAAGGTTTTGTTTAAATGAACTATTAGATCAGGTGTTATCCCAACAGTCAGTCGTAGACTGAAAATATCTCCTAACAATCTTTGAAAGTCATTAAGAGTCCGTAATTGGTCTCCCCTAATTTGTGCCTTTTGTATTCTAATTTTCTATAAACCTATTTTGTAGCCTAGGTAATTGACAGAATCTCCTCTTTGTATTTTTTCAGGAGCAATTTATAATCCCCATTTAGGTAAAACTTTTTTTTTTTTTTACTTCTTCAAACATTCTTTCTAAAGTATCTGCATGCCATGCTTCCCCCACGATGATAATGGACTGAACCTCTGAAACAGTAAATGAGACATCCCAATTAAATGTGTTACTTTATAAGAGTTGCCATGACCATGATTTCTCTTTCCAGCAATAAAAATCCCCACTAAGAGAGAAGTTGGTACCAAGGACTGGGATATTGCTGTGATAAGTCTGGCCATGATATTGTTTGGAGTAAAATGGCCTTTGGGAGTTTGGGTTAGAAAAGCAGTGGGGTGCTTTAAGTGCTGCTTAATGGGCCATACTAGTAAAAGCATGGAAGGCAGTGGTGTCGAGTATGACTTAATGAACTGTTAAGTTCATTGAAATCAAGAGGTTTCAGAGGAGAAGAATTTTAGTATGTTGCCTAGAGATTGCTTTTGTGATATTTGGTGAAGAGAGTGGCTGCCCTTTGCCCTTGTCCAAGAGTCTGCCTGCGGCTAAAGCAAAGAGTTTTGGATTAATTCCAATGGCAGAAGAAATCTCAAAACAGCCTAGTATGGACTCTGTTTTTCAATGATAACTGTAATAATGATTTATAATGAAAAGGAGCAAATTCAGCAGGGTAAATGACAAAATGAAAAATTTGAGAATTTTGAGAGCACTAGGAAATGGAATGGAGCTAAATTCTATGCTCAAAGAGATAAACAGATTAACAAGTAAAATACAGGAAGTGGTGACCACATGACAAGATCCCACCCAGCTAAGTTTACAATTTATAAAAAGGAACTAAAGAAAAGCTTAGAGCCAGAGTGTGGTGGGGCATACCTTTAATCCCAGCACTGGGAAGGCAGAGGCTGGTGGATCTCTGAGTTTGAGGCCAGCATGATTTACAGAGCAAGTTTCAGGACAGCCATGCGTAGGTAGTAAAGGACAGAAAGCTGGTGAAGATGTAATTGAATGAGGGGGCCATGTTCCAGCCCCAGCAAGCAACAGAACTCAGCAGCTTTAGCCACATTGTTTTAACTTTAGAGTTAAGGATAGGAGTTATAAAACTGGTCAGTCCAGGCATGTGTCGGGGTGTCCTTGAATGGAGGCCTAGCAGAGAGGCCATTGCATGAAGCTGTGAAGCTGAAGCCTGGATTGCCTAGGAGAACCCAAGGTATTAGAGATACCAGGATCATGGGATGCCTGCCAAAGACACCTGCTGACAGGGAGTGGAACCAGGCCAAGAGAAAGAAGTGTGTGTGCAGTCAACAAAGCTGATCAGAGTTGGAGATCTGAAGAGCATTTGACAGCAGACATGAAGATGCAGAATTTGGAGTTTCCCAGTTGGTTTTCATTCTTGTTTTGATCCTGTATTTCCTCACTATGGTGTGCTTTTGGATTTTGATTTTTACAAGGGGATTAAAGTTAAGAGATTGTCATGCATCTTAGAAGAGACTTTGAAACAAGTTCGAGACTACTACTGACTATAGCAACTTTTGAAGTTGGACTGAATGTATTTTTTTGAATTATGATATGGCAATAAGCCTTTGGGGGCCAGGAAAGGGAATGCGGTGGTTTGAAATAAAATGGCTCCCAAAGGGAGTGACACTATGAGGAGTTATGGCTCTCTTAGAGGAAGTGTGTCACTGTAGAGGCAGGCATTGAGGTCTCTTTTGCTCAAGCTTCCTGTTGCCTTCAAGATGTAGCACTCTTAGCGCCAGCACCACGTCTGCCTGCACACCATGCTCCCCCATTGTTGACAGAGGTTTCTGTCCTGCCCGATCCCGCAGCCATTCAGCCCCAAAGAAACACACAGAGGCTTACATTAATTATAACAATGGTTGGTCTATTAGCTCAGGCTTCTTATTAGCTAATTCTTACATCTTAAATTAGTCCATAATTCTTATCTGTGTTAGCCATGTGGCTTGGTACCTTCATCAGTGAAGCATTCTCATCTTGCTTCCTCTGTGGCTGGGTGATGACTGCAGACTGACTCTTTCCTCTTCCCAGAATTCTCCTGTTCTTATTGCCCCACCTCTACTACTTCCTGCCTGGTCGCCCTGCCTATACTTCCTGCCTGGCTACTGACCAATCAGTGTTTTATTAAAATAATACAAGTGACAGGATAAAAGGCCATTGTCCCACAGCACACCAAGATAATGGACTGAACCTCTGAAACTGTAAGCCAGCCCCCAATTAAATGTTTTACTTTATAAAAGTTTTACTTTATAAGAGTGTCCATAGTCAAGATGTCTCTTCACAGTAATAGAAACCATAAGACAGGAGGAAATCCAGAATAATGTAAGAAAAGGGAGAAAATTAAGTCAATGATAGGGAAAACCACAAAATAGAAAAATGGGAATGTACAGACCAACCAAGAAAATGGCAGAAAGCAATGGACAAATGAATAGTACACATGAGATTCCTTTTTATGATTTTGTGTGTGTGTGTGTGTGTGTGTGTGTGTGTGTGCGCGCGCGCGCACAGGCACACATGTGCCATAATCTGCCCGCTGTGGGCTCTGAGAACTGAACTCCAGTCCTCTGAAGAACAGCAAGTGCTCTTAACCACTGGGCCTCCTCTCCAACCCCCCACATGCAGATCCTGAACCAAAAAGCAAACCACCCTTACTTGGGTCCTGACCCCGAGAGTCTATAGCTACATGAGGATCAGAATATCATCCCATCTCCCTAAGACTGGGTTCCCTCATCTGTGAGGAGATACGCTGGGCACATGATGACTGCCCGCCAAGGAGAATGGCGACTCTGAGGATAGCCTAGGCTATGCTGACTTCACTGACACATTGGAGTGCCCAGGCTGATCTCAAACTCATAGGTGCAAATAATCCTCCTGCCTCAGCTGCTCTCACAGCTGTGACTATAGGCACTGGAATCAAACATTCACATAGGATCTTCACTAAAGCACCCAAAAGCTGGAACAGCCAGCCACCTTCATAGGCTTTCTTAGCACAGAAAAACCAATCTTTGCCTGGCTCACAGACAGCCTTGGTTCAGAAATCCAGCCTCCAATCCTTCCCCCTTCCCCAGCCATTGCCAGGCTACTGCTTTGGGAGTCAGTGAAGGTACTTTCTTCCTAGGTAAGTGGAGGTGTGTTTCAGAACTTGATGGGGCATTTTAGCTCTACTGAGGAGCCACTCCTTTTCAACCATGGAGTTCTGCTCTCTGCATCCCGAACTGAGGCCTGTTCTGGGCACCCAACTCTGAACAAACAAAATCCACCCCAGACACCTTGGAATGCTATCACTTTGTGTGTGTGTGTGTGTGTGTGTGTGTGTGTGCCTGTGTGTGTTTGTGTGTGCGCGCACATGAGTGCATGCACAGTTCCTCTGATTTGTTTCCCTAGCAACAAGGAAGGCATGAAAACACCATCACAAAGAATGAACAGTTGCTTGTTTACTCTTGTGTCCCCGAGAGGAGCTGTGGTTAGGAACAGTCAGGACTCCCTATCTTGTACACTATTCACAGCACAGGCATCTGGCTGGTCCCAGTCCCACTGAACAGAGGACAGCAACAGCCCAGAATAACATCAGTCTAAACAGCTTCACACTGCCAGAAGGGAGGGCAGGAAACAGCTCTTCAAGGTCAAAGCCAAGTGACAAAGTCCTGTCGACAAACGGCACATCCACATTTAATCTTCCATGGCCTTTCTTGTCCAGGTCATGAGGGACAGTGGGTGCTTGTAAGGCAACGGCCTGCTCATATGGGCTGGGTACTTGGCTCCTGAGTGTGACAGGGAGAGGCCTCTTCTACCACTTGAGGTTGCCTTTCAAGCACCTGCCGCACCCTTTGCATTCCTGAGAATAAGCGAGGAGAGGTCAGCACTGGGCTGATCGGGTCAGAAGCAGGGGTCGCTGGAAGGATGCTGTTGGGAGGCTGGGGGAAGAGACTGCTCACCCAGGCGGAGCCGGTTTTCCTTGTCGGAGAAGACCACCCGGAACCAGCCGGGTTCTTTGCACTCGAAGGTCTTACCACAGGACAGCAGCACCTTGTTGTCCAAAAACTGGCGCCAGAGCAGCCCCTCCTCCTCAAAGGTGCCTCTGGGCAGGAACTGGGAGGGCAGAAGTAGCTCAGGATGCAGGAGACCCTATGGGGCTTCCCCTGCCAGGCATTCCCCTCCACACACAGCTCCACCCCATTTACCTTTCTTAAGTCAACCCAGATGAAGAAGCCTGCCCCACGACTCACGAAGGGTATCCCCAGGGCTCTGAGCTCCTCTGAGACATAGGTATGGGCAGCCTTGAGCCGGGCGTGGTTTTCTGGCAGGTACACCTGGCTGATCCAGTCTAAATGGAAGGGAAGCAGGAATCTAAAACTCCCATGGATCTCTGCATTAATCTAAACGCTGAAAGACTAAAGGGCATGGCAGCCAACACCACGGGAGTCCTTCTTCTATCTGGCTTACTGAGTCATGGGTTCAGAGCGGCTGGGAGTTCAGTGCTCAGGACAAAGTGCCTTTGATCCAGGTATACAGCCCTGAGAGTGCCAGCTCCCAGACCACATTCAGCAGCCCAGGGTACAAAGTCCCCCAGGATGTGAACCAAGCCAAAGGTGTCTGCAGGTATAAAGTGATACTTAGATCCACACAGACAAAATCCCTATCCCAGTGGGGCATCTGTCAAGATGAGAAAAGACTCTATAGATTATGACACATCCATACACTTATGAAAGCATTACCACAATCAGGATTTAAATAACCCCCAAAGACTATCCCAATGACTGATATGTCATACACATGACAGTCTTGTGCATTCCCAAACGTCACCAAAACCAGCCTCAGAGGATATGTAAAGTCTTGACTCTAAGCTTCTCTTAATAGCACAGTGTCTTTGGGAGAAATCCACACTGCCATGGACGTTATTGGCAGAAGTATTCCACAGTGTGGACGGGACACATCTGTGGATAAACTCCTCTGTGGAGCGGTTTGCAAATGTGGGTGATTATGAAAAAAAAAAAACCAGCTAGCAGCATTCATGCAGAGGTTTTTGTGTGACCACCACGGTTCCTCACTTGGGCCTGTCGCTACTGGGTTATTTGATGTTATTTGATAGGTGTGTTTAGAGGAAATTGCCAAATTGTTTTTCATTGTGGCTGAGCCACTTCCTGTCCCCACCATCAATGTAAGAGCAAGTGTCCTGGCTATTCCACCACCTTTATCAACATTCAGTAGGTATTGCCACTGTTTCTAAAACTTTTTAGACTATTAGATTGGTAATTAGTAGCTGATCCTCCTTGTCCACACCTGCAAGACAAAGGAGAACTGTAGGAATTCTCCCTAAGGCCTAGGGAGGGAAATGAGATGGACCAAAAGAACATCTGAAAGACTCAGTGAAGACCAACAGTGACAGGAGAGCTCTGCTATCTGAACTCATTGCTGAAGGTGGGAACGATCCAAATCTCAGAGGCAGAGAGCTCTCCGTTGTACTGGCATTTCCTCAGGAACTTCTGATCTCTGTGTTCAACGGTAACTAAAGTTCGTTTTTGAAGGGGGAAATCTTGCTATGTTGCCCAGGCCAGCCTGGAACTCCTGAACTGGAAGGATCCTCCTCCTTCACCCTCCCAAGTAGCTAGAAGAACAGACACATAGCACTGCACCTGGTCAGTGAGTTCACATTAGTCAAGGGCCTGTTTTATGTCACGTATTGTTCTAACCAAATTACAGGCCACACTCGGCCAACAAGACTAGCACCATTACCAGCCCTGTTCTCCAGATGAGGGTGAGGAAATGTGCTACACAGACAGCCAACAAGTGACTGAGGTCCCAGAGATAACACTGCAAGACATCACCTCAGCTCCTCCACAGCAGAGGCACCCGTGAGCCCCAAGTCCCACACACATTACAACCCCGCTCCTCCTGTAAGATCCAGACAAATCACCATGGTCCCGGAGCAGCTGTGCCATCTGGTGTTGGACCAGGCCACTGAGGCCATGATAGCGACAGAGGGAGGCCACAGCAGTAGCCACATGCTGATTTTCTGTGTACAGGATGCCAAAGCGGAGTCCAGACATCCCAAAGTCCTACGAGAAGATGCATGATAGCCATGGCCGGTTTCCACAGGAGAAACTGATTCCACCCCCTCTCACCCAGGCTAGCCAGAGACTCACCTTGCTGGTGGCCCACATCATGTGTGTCCTCTGGGGGTCAGGCAGCCTACAGAGAGCAGAACAAGGAGACATAAGCAACACAGAACCAGGAGATCACAGACATGCCAATGAATAGATACATGGAGAGATGAAACTGGGCCTCTTGTCTTTGAATCACCAATACCTGTGCTTTCATTAGCATGGGGGCCAGCCTGCTGCCTATTCCTGTAACTATCATTAGAACACAGTCAAGCTCACTGCTCCACATGTCTGTGGGAGCTGAGTGGGAAGCCATGAGCCTGACCTCTGAGCTGGAAAGCAGGTCCAGGACCACTTCCTCAAAAGGCTTGTCTGATCAACCCCAGGAAACCAGGCCTCTCAGCTTCTCAGCCACCTCCACCTTAGTGCTTCTTGCTGCTATCGTGGAAATTGCTAGCTGTGTCTTTAGTTGCTGAGACCTTTTCCTAGGTAGAAATCTGATAGACAAATAGATGAGTAGGTGCATGGAGGGATGAAGTGTATCAGGGGATAGATGAATGGATGGGGAGATGGGTGGACAGACAGAAGGAATGACGGATGGGTGGAACTAGAACCGCTCTGAAGATGATGGAAACAGCAGGAGTCCAGTTTCTCACAGACCAAAGACTTCTTCAAATATTGCCAAGGCCCTCCTTGAAGTTCTTGGGAATGTCATAGAGGACCAGGAAGATCAAATAGATATTAATGGAACTGCCCTGGGGCAGGCCATGTCCTGTAGGCTGACCCAGAAAGAGGCTGGAAAACTGTGAGCCAGTCCAGGTACTGAAGAATCAGCTGCAGTGAGATCCTCACCTTTCCAGGCTCAGGACACTCCGGTACCCAAGAGACTCTTCAAACATGGACAACATGTAAACCTCATCCATGATCACATGAAGCTGGTGCCTGCAGTGGGTAGATGGTGGGAAAGAGGGAGCCAAAATATGTCACTCGGCATTGAGAAGCAGTATGTCAGAGGACCACAGACTAACTCAGGGCTACCAAACCAGCTTATCCCAGAAACACCCCAATTAGATCCCAGGAACACCCTGATTTGGTCTATAATTTCACAAATAGGGGCTACATTCATAAAGCAGAGAGCTTTAGAGCCTTTGACGCACTGCAGGGAGGGGAGAAGGCACCCTTGGGTTCCTTCATGGTGGGCTGGAGACAAATGGACTCAGATCCATGTCGTTCCCACTCATGGTTAGACCACTCTGAGCCTCTGTCAAGCAGCGATGATGATAGAATCCATTTCTACGGGGCTGCTGTGATGACCACAGAGACAGCACAGACGATGCTCAGCTGGGAACACGGCCCACTCAGTAAAGTGCCACCTTGCAAACAAGACCCACGTTTGATACCCAGAACCTGCTAACCACATGGGCCTGGTGGCATGCACTTGCAATACCAGTGCTGGGGAAGTGAGGACAAGAGGATTTCAGACAGCCCAGTATGCCAGACCAATGAAACGCTTTCTTAGAATCTATTAGAAGGCGTCTAAGGAATGACCTCTGTCCTATATTCAACTATACACATGAACACAGGCTAACATATAAAAAGTTATAAATTTTCAGCATGGGGTCTGGCCCTAGAGTGTTGCAGCTGGTGTTTTGAGAAGACAGAGAAACACCAAAGCTGGTAGTAGGCCAGTGAGCGAAGAAGGCCTAAGGACCTGGCCCAAGGCTCACATACAAGCCATGTCTGCTCACTTCATAGGTTAGGTGTAGCTCACCTCATGGCAAATTCCAGGAACTCCTGTAGCTCTTCAGGGGAGTAGATATCACCCAGAGGGTTCTGGGGATTGATGAGGATGAGGCCTTTGACCTTGACACCCTAAAATCATCCATGAGGGTGTTACTGTGTCCCCCCAACCCTAGAACCTTACATCCCACTAGATGAGGCTGAAAACTGCCTGAATCCCAGGGAAGCATGGCAGGAGGGACACACTCATGACCCAACAAGAAGCAAATGAATGGGACTAGAGTTCTGTCTGCTGTGTCATGCCAACTGTGGGAAGAACGCAGGCAGGAAATGGGGAAATGTACCCAGCTGCTGGCAGAGAGGCTGTTTGAGTGGGAAGAATTCTCTGCAGGAGTTGGGGGCTTCCACAGTTCCTGCAGTGAGCACTTGGGAGCTTGAATGACCTTAGTGACCTCAGTGACCTCAGTGAAGTGCACAGATGCTGAAAATGGGTGGGAAGCACAGGAACCTGGGTCTCTGCCTTTACTAGGGAGTCCCTCAAAAGCAGCAGGATCACCCCTCAAATTGCCAGAGAAACTCACTACACTATAGACTCCCATGAGCCACATTTGACCCTGAAGCAGAAACAAAGGAACTGGGGTGGGGGAGTGTCCTTTTAATTAGCATACTGTGGTGGTTCGACTTAGAATGCCCCGTTGGCTCCTACATTTGAATGCTTGGTCTTTAGTGGAACTGTCTGGAAAGGATGAGGGAGGTATGGCCTTGCTGGAGGAGGTGTATCACTTGGAGTGGGCTTTGAGACTTCAAAAGCCCCTTTTCTCTCTGCCTGTTGTCTATAGGTCAGGATGTAGAGCTCTTGGCTACTGCTACAGTGCCCTGCTTGTCTACTTCCTGCCGTGGTGATCATGGACTAACTCTCTGAAACTGTAAGCAAGCCCCCAATGAAATGCTTTCTTTTACGAGTTCCCTTGGTCATGGTGTCTCTTCACAGCAACAGAACAGTGACTAAGACACAAACATTCATTGAAAACAACAGAGGGCTTCACTCTAGGCATTTCCATGCAGATAGGCAATTTGATCCAAACCCACCACCTCCTATTACCCTTTCTTGTACCCTTTCTTGTGAGGGGAAATTGTTAATGAAGGCCCCTGGTCCTCTGTACACTGTGGTTTCAGGGTCATTTTCTAATGGGAAGACCCCCCCAAAGACACAGGATTCTGCCTGACTCCCCCCCAAGGATGGTTCTACAACTCCTTCTCAAATGTCCCTATCAAAGTTACAAACCCAGCTCCTGAGAGATGAAGGGTCCAGTCCCTGCTGAGGCCACCCACTCACAGCCCTGGATTTGACTGAATCCCCAGACCTCAGAATTAACTCCTTGAAGGGCCAACTCCAGCTTCTCCACTGTGAGCTGGAACGGACGTGTGTTCAATCCAGTTACCTGGGAAAAGACCCACCAAAGGCAGCAGTCAAATTCAGTGCCCCACTTCCACCCCAAACTTGAACTCTTGGGTCTCTCCTCCCCTATCATCTTCAGTCTCCTGGGTCCAGTCTCTGGAAAATGGGAGGGGACACTTTCCCTTCTGGCCTTCTGCAGCAGAGGGCATCCCTCATCACTCAGATTTCTGACAGAGGCATCAAGGATGCTCTGATTGGCTCTCAGGACTTTCAAGGCATAAGCTTCCCCCTTCCCACCCTCTCATTTCTAGGGCTAGTTCTAGGCTTCTCTGTGGATCCAGGAATTTTAGAAGCTGTAGCTTGGAGCTTCCAGAGAAGCCAGGCAGAGGCTCCACTTCCATTTCACAGCTGCCCCAAAGCACAGGCTTCCTTCAGGTCCGCCCACAAATTCAGACCCTGCAAACCCTTGCCTACAGGAAGATCCAGATGCAATAATTAGAATTCAGGCAATCTTACCTCACTCTCCAGGTAGACATAGGCCAGTCGGACGTTGCCATAGAGATAGACATGCTGGGTAATGGCTCCATAGTAAGGGGTGGGGATCAAGAGAGCCTCTAGGAGAAGAAGTAGCCGCTCAATGGCCCCTGACTTGGATACCCCAGACACCTATCATGAAATCCACAGCCCTTCCAAGCCTCCATCATCCCTGGGAAATATCTGGAACATATTCCGACTCCTCTCAACTCCTAAAACCTTAAAGCTTGGATGTCCTAAGGTCAGACTTTCTAATATAGATGCTCACTTAAAATGGGATCACATGCAGACAAATCCACTATAAAATATAAAAATGTGTTTGATCTACCTATCTTCCTGAACATCCTAGCTTAGGACCTGAAACAGGGCAGAGAATCGGCATTGACTCAAGATCCCATGGTTGCCTGCAGGTGGAATGGGGGAGCTCACTGCCACTGCCCAGTATTGCAAGAAAACACCACATCACACAGCACTAGCCAGAGAACCTGTCACAATCCAAACTGCTAAGTCTATGAATGTAGCTCAGTGGGTGGAGGGCTTGCCTTGCGTACATGAAGCCCTGGGTTTCATCCTCAGCACCACACAAGCCAGGCACCACATTCATAGTCCAGCACTCAGGAAGGAAGGGGGCATGAAGATGAGAGGTTCAAGGTCATCCTCAGTTAGACAGTGAGTTCTGTCAAGACTACCTTGGGCTGGATGAGACTCTGTCTCTAAAATAGAGGGGTTGGGATGAGTGAAGAGATAGCTCAGAGGTTGAAGGCACTGGTTGTCCTTCCAGAGGAGCTGGGTTTGATTCCCAGAACCTACATGATGGCTTACAACCAGCTGCAACTCCATTTCCAGGGGATCTGGCCTCCACAGGTACCAGGCACCCACAAAGACACATCCAGGCAAAAACACCCATGCACACAAAATAACAAAATTAATATAAATAAGAAAGATTTATTTAAACATAAAGAGACACACAGAGAGAAACTGAAATGGAGTTCCTATTGAGTTTGCAGTTTTTTATACCATTGTGGGCTGAAAATCCCTGTCCATATGAGTTGGGTCCTCTGCTAACACTTTCTGACCTCTGAGCCTGTGCTAAACAGGCTCACCACTATGCTCTGAGGTAAGCCGACCTTTACAGATGGAGCCTATAGGGCCCCTGCATCTGATTGTTCTAGACTGAATAAGAACTTGTCTATCATATTCTCACAGCAAATCTCCCTTTAGGGTTCAAGTCCTGGTGACTGCTTCTGTTTGTGTGACTCTGACTTTTACTTAACGTCTGGCCCCTCAGTCTTCTCACAGGTCAAATGGGTTTAGTCAAAGAATCCACGTCCTAGAGGAATACAGCCACACAACCTAGCCTGGAATGCAGTATCTGGTGACCACATGTGAGCTGTGTTAACTTATTAGTTAGGCTCTCATGAGCAGGGCTCTAACCTTACAACAACTGACCCCTGACCACAACCAGCTCTTACACAATGCCTCTTAAAGCAGCTGGCTGTCTATTCAACAGCCATCCAATTTCCTTCCATGCAAAGAGAAAGAAATAGTTTTTGTTTTGTTTGATGTATTCGTTTGTTTTGTTTTGTTTGTTTGAAAGATGGCCAGCAATCTATCCAGGTCAGGCCTTCCCCAGCCATGGCTGAACCAGTCTGGATTCAGCCGACACTGGCTCCCTTAGGCCCATTTGCCAGGGACTCCTTGAGGTTTACATGTAATTTCTATTTGGTAAGAGTCTCGCTGGGATCCTTTTGAGAACGAGCACCCTCGATGCCCTGCCTAACAGGAGAGAGACCGGCTTGTTGCTACTGTCTTTTTTACCTTGCTATAAGACAGTGTCAGAGAAGGCTGTGACCATGACCTGTATACTGGGAGGGAAAGTGGAGGACTCAGAGAGAGAAAGCAGGACCCTGACCCCATATGGGTCTCATCAGAACTGCTGCCTCAGTCTGGTTAAACCACGCACTTAAGGCCCCTGTAATCTCTTATGTTCTCCTATTGCTGAAGGTGTCCTGATGCGGCTGTGGTACCAGGCAACTGGGGTCCCAGCCCAGGCTTGGGACAAAGCTGACTGAGTGGGGCACGGAGTTCACTCACCTCCTGCCTCACAGAGCACTGTGGCCAGAGCGGAAAAGAGTGAGGCACAGCCATTCAGAACCACCACCTAGGGGTGACAAGAGACAAGGGTGACTCTGTCTGAGGACAGAGAAGAGCAAGAACCAGGGGAAGGCCTAGGCCTCTCCCCAGGGCCCTGAGGATCCATTCTGATGAAGGTCTTTCTGGGTTTCCAGCCAAGCTTATTTCTGGGGACCCCGCTCTTGATCCAGTGAACAAGAGACAGAACTGGCCAATCTGAGGGTCTCTCTCAAAGGTGAGGGGGTCAAGAGGGACACTGCACAATGGGGTTAGGAGCTAAGTGAAGCTAAGTGAAAGCACTCTCCCACCCCTCACCCGTAAGGAAGGGGTGACTCACATTCTCTGGTTTGAGGGGTGCTGGGCTCTTACAGTAGAAAGACAAGAACTTTGCCACTTCTTCCCGCAGGCTAGAAGGACAGATCAACAGGTGTGACACTCGTCAGAGGGTTCTCAGCCCTGTCCTCTCCAGAGCCTGCCTGGGAACCGCAGGTGGCTAGCTGCCACTGCTCTGCCCTCCCTTCCCAGGAGGTGGATGTGGCAGGTATTTGTCTCCACGCCAGCACACCCTCCCCCACCCAGCCGCAAAACATTCATTCTGTGTGGTTCTAGGATATCCACCTTCCCACGCAGTGGATGAAAACAAACACGACATAGATCTAGCTGATGAAAACAATAATAATAAACATTATCATAATAGGAATTGATGTTACCGTGCTTTTTTTGTTTGTTTATTTTATTTATTTTTTTTCCCGAGACAGGGTTTCTCTGTACCTTTGGAGCCTGTCCTAGAACTAGCTCTTATAGACCAGGCTGGCCTCGAACTCAGAGATCTGCCTGCCTCTGCCTCTTGATTGCTGGGATTAAAGGTGTGTGCCACTACCACCCAGCTGTTACGGTGGTTCTTATTGAGCATCAATGTTACACATATGTCATTTGGAGAACGTTCCATGGTGACTATGGTTACTATCATTCCCATTTTACAAAGAAACTGAGGTTTGAGGGAATTAAATCACTTGCTGGTAAGTGGCCCAGTCCCTGCCCCAGGGTCCACCATCCTGATGACCCTTTTTTAAGAATATGAGCTTCAGAATACATCTTGGATCAAGTCCTGCTGGGCCAGCAATCCGCTAGAACAGTGTCTGACCTCCAGGAGACCAGTATACAGCAGCCTCTCTTACCTGGAGAGTGAGTCCCAGCCAGCTCCCTAGACACCCATCTGTCATCGCTGAAGCTGCTGGAAAAGCAGGGGCAGTCTCCTCACTGACCTCAGACTTAGCTGGGAATACGGGGACAGGTTTGGGGCTGGCAGGACAGCCCCTGGTCACCAGGTGTCCACAACTAAGTTCTTAGCCTACAACCAGCTCCCTCACTCTGCCTCTACTGATATGTGGATGGAACAGGTCTTTGTTGAGAGGCTTCCCTGTGCTTTGTAGTTTTATAGCACATCCCTGGGCAGCAGACCTTCTCCCAGGTACACCAACCACAGATGTGCCCCCCCGTTGAGCCCCACCAGCCTTTGGTGACACTTACAACAGATGTCCTCTCCAGTCCGGGTACTGCAGCAGCGAGGGCTCCACATGAAGCATGTCGTTCTGTGTCAGCTGGGGACACAAAGGGAACAGAGCAAGGCAGAGGGCCCAAACTGTCCCTGCATCTGCAGAGCAGCAGGTTTCCTCAGGACAGCACAGCACTCCCCTCCAGGACCATTTTACAGAGAAGCCACCCAGGGCTCACAAGGTGAAGGCAAAGCCAGCAAACCATACCCAGAGCTGCTGACTCTAGCTCTCTATACAGCACGAGCAGAGCATGGCTGCAGAAGCAGTGGTGGGAGGGCACCGCTCAGTGTCCCTAGAGGTCGGTGGATGCTCCAGAGCAGGGTGATGTCAACTTGGCCTTGTCTCCAGCTTTAGAGAGGGGACTAGGACACCATCTCCTGGGGGCTCCACTCTATCTCACCCTTTGTGTGTGGCAGCAAATTTTAGACCATTCCTTGTATAGGCAGGGACTGGGCTAGTGATACTAGAGCATCATGGCTATATGGTCAAAGAGAGCCAATAGCATAGTGTCCTTGGGCAGGGGACCAGAAAAATTGGAATTACCTATTTCTCTAAGCCTGGGTCCAGCCATGTCCCTCCTTCCTGTCACCCCTTATAGCAGGTTCAACAAAGAAGCCACTGGTATCTGAGGCTACTCAGCACTTACTAGGTCACTGGTCTGAACTGTAAAGACTTCATAAAAACAAGTATTAATAAATATTAATAATTGTATATTTATTACCAGCTTAAAAGGTCATACTTTAGATATATTAGGTAAATTAAATATCATTGAAACCAATTTTAGATATTTTCACTTTTGTAGAACTGAGGCACGCTCTTGCTGGGTCATCGTGACTCTCTTGGTACTTACTGTGAACCCAAGATGGCCTCAGGCTCACAGCGCTCCTCCTGCCTCAGCTTCCTGGGACCTGGGTTCAACTCCCAGCACCTACATGGTGCCTCACAACTCTCTAACTACAGTTCCAGGGTAGCAGACTCCCTCTCTGGCCTCAGTAGGCACCAGGCACGTACGTGGTACACAGACATACATGAAAGCAAAGCACCCATACACATAATCTGATGAAATTTTAAGGAATTTTACAAGCTAGATTAGAAACAGCCATAGAAGCCAGGCTTGAGGGTACAGGCCTGTAATCCCAGTTACACTGGAGGTTAAGGGAGGAGGATTCCAAATCCAAGGCCTGCCTGGCAGAATAAGTTCAAGATCAGCCTGAGCAACATAGACCTTGCCTTAAAGTAAAAAGTTAAGAAGGCAGAAGGCATAGTTCAGCTTGCCTAGACTGTGTGAGTGCTGGGGTCAATCCCCAGTAAAGATAAAAGGAAATTGAGTAACAGAGACGAATATAGTTCTGATGGCAGACAGGGTAAGACTGGGGAGAGTAGGGGAGGGGAGGGGAGGGGAGGTAAAGGAAGTGAAAGGGGAGGAGAGGGGAGTTGTTCCCAAGGCAAACCTGCAATGCATGTCTCCCAGCAACCAGTTCTTCAGTCAGGGCAAGTGAGGCATGCAGCAAGTTGCTGTAGCAAAGGATTCAAGAAGGCCCGGTGATGGCAGCCCCAGTACTTACCCGCCTGGACAGAAGGTCAAAGCAGAGTTTGTTCTCACTGGTGCCCAAGTTAATGATGCCCTGCAGACAGAGTGTACAGGTAGTGTAGGTGAGCATGACAAAGGAATGCCAACCAAGAGCCACAATGTCTGACTGCCACCCCACAAGGTGTTAGTCCTAGTAGGAGGCATGGACACCTGACTCCTGCCTTATGTGCAGAGCAAAGGAAGCAGGAGAGACAAAAGAATTAACTTGAAGGAGTTGAGAGTTAGACAAATAACAGGCAATGCTCACCACCCCTGGGAAGGAAACCGTTTCCTCCAGACACAGACAACCCATCTCCAAATCCCAATAGCTCTACAGCACATTCAGCCACCCTCTTGTGATGCCCCACTGCCGAGATCCCAGTGTAAGTCACCATGATCACTGCCATAGCTCCCCACCTCCTCTCCTGTCCACTCCCCTGCCTGTAATCAGTCTTCATAAGAAAGTCCGGGAAGTCTTTGAAAAACTGAAATTGCACCATGCATTCTGCTCCTCCCCTGAACACTTCCTACCCAACTCTGTCTACAGAAAGAACACTCACCATGTCCCATGAGACCTTACAAGATCCATAGCCTTTCTGACCCCATCACCCCCAGTCTGGCTTTTACTGCAGCCCAAGGGCTCCCTTGCTGGTCCTTGCTCTGATCCAGCACAGTTCCAGGCTGGGCCCTCGTACTAGCTGTTCCCTCAGCTGTACGGTTCCTGGGGTGGGCAGCCTCTACCATGGCACCCTGCACAGAGACTGACTCGGCCACCTGCTCCTGATGAGGAGAACATGCAGAAATGCTGGGATGTCACCTCTAAGGTTAGGTCACAAAAGCGAGTGGCTTCCATGCTGGGTACTCACAATCTCTCATTCTGTCTTGAGACATCTGCCCTGAAAGGAGTCAGCTGCCATATCTGAGGCAGTCCACGTGGAGAGGAACAGGTGCCCACCAAGGAGCCACAGAAGTGAGTTTGGAGACGGAGCCTCTCACCTGTCCAAGCCCCACCACACAGTCAAACTTTCAGATGCACAGGGCAGCTTCAGGGTACCGTGACACAAACCCCTGAGCCAGACACACCCACCAGGAGTCCAGCAACTGGGAAACGTTTGCTCTGTCAGCTGCTGCAACGTGGGGTGATTTGTTACAGCACTGGGTAATTAACACAGTCTCACCTTTTTTTTACACCTCTGTTCTAATGTCATTTGATTAAAGTAGCCTTCTATGACATCCTAAGTCAAACAGTAACATTTCTCAGCGGGCCATCATCCTCTGTCCACCTTCCCCTTTCTTCATTTGCTTTGCAGTGCCTATCAGTAAATGCTCTGTGTGGTTCTGATCTGTCTGTCTCCACTAAAATATAAATACATAGGGCAAGACTGGAGTTTCGCTCAGTGCTACGACATCAGGACCTAGAACAGTCGCTGATACCTGGTGGGTGTTCAACAGATCAAAACTATTAATAAGAGTTGTTGTGCAGCTTCTTGCCAAATTATTGTGTATAATAGATTATGGTAATCACTGCAGATGATATTAATAATAATAGCAGCTGTATTTATCAAGTGTATTATATGATAAGCACTGTGAATTTCACACTCCGGGTCTCACTTAATGTTGACTCTTCTACAGAGTAGACATTACCAGCCCATTTCAGAGATGAGCTGTCTACAGAGCAGACATTACCAGCCCATCTCAGAGATGAACTGTCTACAGAGCAGACATTACCAGCCCATCTCAGAGATGAACTGTCTACAGAGCAGACATTACCAGCCCATCTCAGAAATGACCTGTCTACAGAGTTGAAATTACCAGCTCTCCTGCAGAGGATCATGACTCCAACTTGACAAGAGCGATCTGGGAGCTGGCTGCCCTGCAGTTAGTTTGCTCTTGGCTCCCAGCCGGAAGGGGTGGGGTCTTCACTCACACTGGGGTTCTTGTCTTCATCATACTCGTCCATATGGTAGGTTCTGTAGCCCTCCTCAGCTGAGTCCCAGAACCATTTGCTGACTCTTCCTCTAGAGGACAGGCAGGAGCTATCAGAGGAGAACATGGCCACGGGGTCCCCCACTCCATAGAGCTTGAGCTGCTTCCAGTCTGGCTTTCTGAGGCACTCTCCTGGCAGAGAATCATCATAGCCACTGTCCATGCCCTGAGGAGAGGCTGAGCCTGGACGTTCAGTCGGTGTCTGAGGAAGAGGGAATATCGTCAAAACACAAATGCTCAGGCCTGCTGAAGGGCTTCTGCTCGTCCTTGAATGTTTGTGTGTTTGTCTTGTGTAGGTCCAAGAACAATCTCCAGTGTTGTTCTGGGAGCTACCCACCATGTTTTTAGAGGTACGGTCTATCCCTAAGTCCTTGTGTTTGCAAAGTAGGTTAGACTGGCTAGGCAGTAAGGTCCAGGATCTGCCTGTCTCATCTCCCCAGCTCTGGAATTATGAGGGTGCACATCTGGCTATTTTAATGTGGGTTCTGGGAATAATACTCGGGTCCTCATTGACTACAAGGCAAGCAAAGCATTTTACTTCCTGGGCACATTTTACAGCCAGGGATGGTCACCCAGCTGTTGGGGTCCAGTCCCAACACAAAACATTTCTCACCAGTGTGAAGGCGTAAAAATAAAGACACTATTTACACGGCAGTCTTGGGAAGGGGTTTTAGTGATCATTTCAATCTTAAAGTCACCCACGTTTATTTTTCAAACAGCGTTTATATCAACACAAACTAAAAAAAAAAGGGTTAAAAAAACTTTACTAACATTCTCTCTTTTAGATGGGGGATGACTATTTTGTCAGGTAGACTAAAAAACACCTCTTCCCCAGGTAACCTCATAATTTACAATTGAAAAAACAAAACGGCATTAACATATCCTAACACCTGTTGAGGTGACACCTTGTTTGCTTTGCTGCAAAAGAGCCTGGCAATCTCCTCCTGCAGAAAAGGCACAAATTACGCCTTGTAAGTCACTCAGATTCTCTAACCGGCAGACAACGTAAAATATGGGCTGGATTTGGCCCCCACACCCAGCCTTCTCCACCAACCCCTCCAGGCTGCCCAACGCTGGCCTTGGACTCTTGGGCTCAAGTGGTCCTCCTTTCTCAGCCTCCCTGGTAGCTGGAACTAAAGCCATTTCCACACAGATGTTTCCCCCTTCTTGCAAGTTTGTGTGCTCACCCCCCTTGTCCCTTTCGAGTTAAACGTTTCAACAAAGAAATCTGTTGAGGACCTATGAAGACCACACCATGCTTGCTACAGAGAAATAACTTTAATCCACTGTTGCTTTAGCTTGCTGCATTTGTTTCTAGTTCTGCAGCCTCGAGATCACCAACGATCTTTACCGACACGAGCTCACCTCAATTTCAAAACACCAGGCTATTTCCCAAGCAGCTCACATCTTGTGTGACAGGTGAACTGGAGAAGATGGTGGTGGGAACCAGTGGGAGGGGAGAGTAGGGGTCACAAGTGCAGTCGGGGTCCCAGTTCCACTCACAAAGGAGACAAGGGCCCCAGGGGAGGCTCTCCTAGCTGCCAACAATATAGGAGCTTCCTAAGCGTCCCTCATTCGTGCTCTAGTGGGTTCAACACCCACCTCGGGGCGCGACAGTGAGGATCTGAGGCGCTAAAGCATTACACACCAAATTGTGGCTGGTGGCCAAATGTCTCAAATATGAGTCACTCTTTCACAAATGCTCTCAGATTTCTCTGTCTTAAGGGCCAAGTCTTACTTAGTAGAAGAGACAGCCGGTGTAGATGGGAAACCAGAAACTTGCCCGCAGTTTAATTTTGCTTTGTAAATCTCGGGGGGCCTCCCCAAGGCGGCAGGACATTGAAGGAGCACACCTTCTGCTCCACAACAGCCCAGGTTGGAGGAAGGGCACTACCGAGTGCCCGGGCTTGGGCTTGGGAGGGCGCAGCCAGAGCCCAGCAGGAACACAAAGCAGTGCGGGTGGGAGGGGGGCTCAATTTGCGTAGCGATCTGACCAGTGCAGTGCCCCCAATCAAGGCCGAATGAGAGCCCGTTCGGGTTTTCCAGACCCGCGGAGCCTGTGTGATTGCACTCAGGACTTCCAGACCCAAGAGCGGTAGCAATCAATAGCACAGGGCAGCCAAGCAGGCCCCTTTGGAGCACAGTAGGGGCAGCGCGGGGGTGGGGGATCGCACCTACTTTAGGCGTCGGATTTCGCGCGCAATATCCTCTGGGCCCGGACTTCCGGGAAGCTGGGGCAGCCTGCCCCCTAGCGACCAGGATGGGATGTTTGAGAAGGCGCCTGCGCCCTGTCTCCTGAGTGAAGCTCTGGGCTTCAGCGCTTACCAGTCCGCCAGAAACAGGAGTCTGAACTGGCAGAAGGGGTAGGGAAGAGGAGGGGAGATCTTGGCCAAGATGAGACCATGCCTCCCCATCTCTTCTCTCATTGGCCTGAGCTCAGCTCTCTCTGGCATTTTGGACACCTTTGGTCAGACCATTTGAGCAGGGAAGTTTCTTCCCCAGTAAAGGTAGGCATCCTCTTAAAACACCGGTCCATGTGCTTGTAGATCTCTCTGCCATCCATCTGGATAGGCTTCCCCAACCCCCGAAAATTCTTAGTTGATGGGAAAAAAGATTTAAAAAAAATAGAAAGTTATCGACATGTATATTCACATGGTACACATGGTGGGGACACATGGGAGTGGAAAACTCTCAAAGGGGTCTTCTTTGAGTTCCAGTTTATACAAAATAGAATTTCAGAGATGTGAGGGGCAAAGGGAAAAGTTCAACTCCAGTACAAGCAGGGACAAGAAGTCGAAACAGAAGCTTTCATTGTGTCTCCCAGAGGTTTGCTAAACCGGGAGTGAACACCATTGAATGACTCCACTCCTTGTTTATGCAAGGAAACCACCTCTTGACTAGCGCAGCCCTTGAGGCCTAGACTGACAAACGTGTTTATGCAGATATATCACTATCATCTGTAAACTTCTCAAATTAGATGAGGAACACGGTCATAGTTCAGAAGGTCAGGTCTGTCACCGTGGTTTGAATGAGAATGACCTCCACAGGCCTATATATATGGGATATATCCCATTAGTTCTGTTCCTCTAAGAAACCCTAATACTGAAATACTGAAGTCCTGGAATTCTGGACGAGCCACTGGTCTTTAGTCCACATTGGAAGTGGAAAGAAGCTGTAAAGTGTGGCAGCAAAATTAGCAGCAGAGGCAGCAGCAGGGGAGATGGCTTGAGAATCCTGTAAACTCACCTGCGAGGCACAGAGGCAAGCCCGGCAAAAGAGCAAAATCTCGTCCCTCTGCCTGCCACCAGAGTGTGCCACCCACACTGAGGGTGGATTGCTGGGAGCCATGCAGCCTAGTCTCGGATCAGGATATGACAACCTGTCTGGTTTTCTCAGTCAAGGCACCTGTGAAAACAGACTCTCACTTGACAAGGTCCAGTGGTCCTTGGGACGGCATAGGAATCTGGGAAACTCATGCAGCTTGCAGGCTCTTTCCCCTCTCATTATACTGGCAATTCTTTGTGCAGTTTTTAGCTTTGTCAGTCACACATGCAATAGCTGTAATTTTCCCTGAAAATTTTGTTATTTTTCAAAGATTTTCCCCTAAGTTTTAGCAGGGGGATAATGCTTCTCAACTTTCTTATCTGGAATTGCTAACTATAATTCCTCATCCTGGGAACTTTTCTGACTCAGTAGAGATAGGTACGTAGGAGAAAGCAACACTTGGAACACTAACCGTGTCTCACAGTTCTGGGAAGGAGAGTAAGGCATGCGAACACAGAATAGGGAAGAGGCCCCAGGAGCACACGTAGTGCCAGCTGTTGAGAGTAAGTGACCCGGACACCAAGCATAGAATCATTGGTAGGATCTGGAATGCTCCAAGAGGAAAGAACACAATGCAAAATGTGGGATGGAGAGATCCATCTTTGTCACACACAGGGGCTGTTGTGATGGAAGAAGTGTGGCGTAGTGGGATGGGGAAAGAGTGCCTTAATCAAAGGCTGCCTTTTACAGAAAGACTGAGACATGGGGCCATCTTGTAGAAAAGGGAACTGTATAAAAAGATGTCATGAGGATATGAAAAAATTGTCTGGGTTTGAATATTGTTGTCCTGTCTATTATTGTTAGCTTTATAACTACAAGTAGCTGCCAGCTGACATAGTGCTGCAAGAGTGTGCTGCAAGTGTGCTGCAAGTATGCTGCAAGTGTGCTGCAAGTGTGCTGCAAGTGTGCTGGCTCGATATTAAGTCGTAAAGATGCTGATCTCTACGTCTAGAATAATTATGCAGGGGTGGGAAAGTGTGTTTGGGGAAGCACAAAGGGGAGCAATGGAGGCTTTCATAATAATCACGATGTATTCTTTAAATGGTGATGTCTTTTTTGAAGTCTATAAAATGCATTTTGTTAATTGGAAAGTTAAAAGAAGACAAAATTACCACTAATATGCACACAGTTTTAAGAAGGAAAAATTAGTCCATACAGAATAAATCATCCTTCAGCAAAACAACTTTTAGTCTTTATAAAAGATTTGTTTTGAATCACCCACACAGTTTTTAAGATCAGACTACTGATTTCTATGGCCTACACAATTTTTTACATCAGATAACTGATTTCTTTTGCTTTACAATATTAAAAAGTTTGAAATGTAGGCATTACATATTGAGTCCATTTTTATTCTTCGCAAGTGCAACAAATTATGTGTTGAAGCCTATGTTAGAAATGTACAACACTCTAGGTCATGAACAGCTGGAGACAAAGTTATCTATATTTCCAGATACCGTAATTTTTATTTTTTATTGATTTTTATTGAGCTCTACATTTTACTATGCTCCCCTTCCCTCTTCAATCCTCCCCCAAGGTCCCTATGCTCCCAATTTACACAGAAGATCTTGTCTTTTTCTACTTCCCGTGTAGATTAGATCTGTGTAAGCCTCTCTTAGTGTCCTCATTGTTGTCTAAGTTCTCTGGGATTGTGGCTTGTAGGCTGGTTTTCTTTGCTTTATGTTTAAAAACCACCTATGAGCAAGTACATGTGATAATTGTCTTTCTGTGTCTGGGTTACTTCACTCAAAATGATGTTTTCTAGCTCCATCCATTTGCCTGCAAAATTCAAGATGTCATTATTTTTTCTGCTGTGCAGTATTCCATTGTGTAAATGTACCACATTTTCCTTATCCATTCTCCAGATGAAGGGCATTTAGGTTGTTTCCATGTTCTGGCTATCACATACAATACTGCTATGAACATAGTTAAGCACATGTTCTTGTGGCATGATTGAACATCCTTTGGATATATAACCAAAAGTGGTATTTCTGGGTCTTGAGGAAGGTTGTTTCCTAATTTTCTGAGAAATTGCCACATTGACATCCAAAAGGTCTGTACCAGCTTGCATTCCTACCAGCAATGCAGAAGTGTTCCCTTTTCCCCACAACCTCTCCAGCATAAGTTGTCATCAGTGTTTTTGATTTTGGCCATTCTTACAGGTGTAAGATGGAATCTCAGAGGTGTTTTGATTTGCATTTCTTTGATGACTAAGGATGTTGATCATTTCCTTAAGTGTCTTTCAGCCATTTTAGATTCCTCTGTTGAGAGTTCTCTTTTAGGTATGTACTCCATGTTTCTATTGGATTATTTGTTCTTTTGATGACCAATTGAGTTCTTTGTATATTTTGAAGATCAGACCTCTGTCTGATGTGGGATTAGTGAAGATCTTTTTCCATTCTGTAGGCTGTCATTTTGTCTTGTTGACCGTGTCCTTTGCTTTACAGAAGCTATTCAGTTTCAGGAGGTCCCATTTATTAATTGTTTCTCTCAGTGTCTGTGCTGCTGGGGTTATATTTAGGAAGTGGTCTCCAGTGCCAACGCGTTCAAGTGTATTTCCAACTTTCTCTTCTATGAGGTTCAATGTGGCTGGCTTTATGTTGAGGTCGTTGATCCATTTGGACTTGAGTTTTGTGCATGGTGATAGATATGGGTCTATTTTCATTCTTCTACATGTCTATATCCAGTTATGCCAGCACCATTTGTCAAATATGTTTTTTTTCCATCTCATATTTTTTGCTTCTTTGTCAAAAATCAGGTATTCGAAGATCTGTGGATTGATATCCAGGTCTTCTATTTGGTTCCATTGGTCCTCCTGTCTATTTTTATGCCAATACCAGGCTATTTTCAGTACTGTAGCTCTGTAGTAGAGTTTGAAGTCAGGGATTGTGATGCCTTCAGAAGTTCTTTTATTGTACAGGAATGTTTTGGCTATCCTGGATTTTTTGCTTTTCCATATGAAGTTGAGTACCATTCTTTCGAGGTCCTTGAAGAATTTTGATTGGGTTTTGAGGGGCAATGCATTGAATCTGTAGATTGCTTTTGGTAAGATTGCCATTTTTACTATGTTAATTCTACCTACCCAAGAGCATGGGAGAAGTTTCCACTTTCTGGTATCTTCTTCAATACCAATTTGAAAGAAAGAATTCAATTTCTTTCTTTAAAGATTTCAAGTTCTTGCCATACAAGTCTTCCACTTCTTTGGTTAGAGTTACTCTGAGATATTTTATGCTATTTGGGGCTATTGTGAAGGGTGTTGTTTGTCTAATTTCTTTCCCAGCCCTTTTATCATCTGTGTACAGGAGGGCTACTGATTTTTTTGAGTTAATCTTGTATCCTGCTACATTACTGAAAGTGTTTATGAGTTGTAGAAGTTCCTTGGTAGAATTTTTTAGATCACTTATGTAAACTATCATATCATCAGCTAACAGTGAGAGTTTGGCTTCTTCTTTTCTGATTTGTATCCCCTTGATCTGCTTTTGGTGTCTTATTACTCTTGCTAGAACCTCAAGAACCATATTGAATAGATATGGAGAGAGTGGACAACCGTGTCTTGTTCCTGATTTCAGTGGAATCACTGGGAGTTTCTCTCTATTTAGTTTGATGTTGGATGTTGTCTTGCTGTATATTGCCTTTATTATGTTTACCTATGTTCCTTGTATCCCTGCTCTCTCCAAGACCTTTATCATGAAGGGATGTTGTCAAAAGCATTTTCGGCATCTAATGAGATGATCATGTGGTTTTTATTTTTCAGCTTGTTTATATGGTAGATTATGTTGACAGATTTTCGTATGTTGAA